CGGGGTCGGGCGCAGGTACTACCGGCCTGACCTTGTAAGTGCTGGGGTGGGGCCGCCCGCTGGCTGCGTGGCGGAGGCCGGTAGCGTGCCCGCGGGACGGAGGGTCCGCCGGAGCGGGGGGGGTGGGGGGGGGTGGTGTTAGAAAACAGCTTTCGGGCTGGCGGCGTGGCACCGAAAATAAAGCAGCTACGCGGGCTGATTCAAAAGGGGTCTCTGCTGTGGGAAGCAGGTTTTTGAAAAGAGCGTGCAAAAGTGGATACGTGGGATTTAAATAGACTTCGCCCCCCAGTAATGGAAATGAAGATGAGCAAAAGTTTACGTTAGAAACAGTCTTGACTCTCGGTCTGCCGTTATCCAAATTGCAGTCACAGATTACTAAGCTCCAACTGAGACCATCCACCAGGGACAGTAATGGTTGATGTGGGCTCTTGGAGGCCTTCTAACTTGTAAGCCTTGCCTCATCCTCCTGCTCGTGTATACTTTTTGCTTTTTTAAAAAAAAATGGGCTATTTTCAAATCAGAAATAAGTTAAAAAATCACTGTGCTTGAGCTGTCATGTCAAAATTTAAGCAATGAGGCTTATATCGTTGATAGATACATAAGAATTTATGTATTTTAATAGTCTCTGCTGTAGCCTCCATTACAGGCAAATAGGCATATGTATTCAGAATGATCTAATGGTTCCCACCTCTTTAAACTAGCATGAATTTTGAGGAGGTATGGTTCTTGAAATGTCATCTGGTATCTTTTCCTTTTTTAAATTTCACCTCCAGTTCAGTGCTTAATTTCTAAACCATAAAGGTAGAAGCGGTGAAACTTTTTCTTCTGTCACCAGGAGAAAGAATATGTGTGGAAACTTCAACTGTACTAGACATCTCAACCACGCTTACTTAAATGGCAAAAAGCAGCTTTGTTTCTTTAAAACAAACTGTCCATTCTTCCTTTTTTCTCCTTCTTTTCACATCCTATTTTGCAACTTGAAAATAAAAGTCAAATTACAAAAAGGTAATAGGTTAATTTTTAAGATGTTTTGCATGTAAGAATTATACTCTGCTCAAAAAAAGAGGGCAGTATAATCACAATTTAGCTATAATGCTGTCTCTTACAGAGCATGCTAATTTACTGGTTTGTGAGTTTAGTTTTTCTTCTGCCACAACACTGACGTCTCTCTCCATTTTTAACAGAGTATACCTGAAATACCTCCTAAGCCTGGAGAACTGAAAACAGAACTGTTGGGTCTAAAAGCAAGATCAAGCAAAGTTCAAACTTCACAACAGTGATCAGAATTTACGTACCTTGTGAAAAGTAGAACTGATAAAATATTTGTTCAACTCTCTCAACTGCAGAAATCCACATGTGAAATACTGTACTCCGTTAATACTTTTGTTTCCTTTAAGCAGAGTTACAGGCAGCATTAAAAATAAATGTACCATGAATACGGTTGTTTAAAGTCCAATCGGTTGTGTGCCAAAATGCTGATGATTTCTTAGTCTTGACTGCAGTGTAAGTGTCCTTCAGAATAAAAGATGTAAACTCACATTGGCAAGTCTGACAGAATTTGAAACTTTTAAGCTGATTAACAAGTACAGGACGTTTACCGTATTGAAAAGTCAAGCTTTTATGGCCCCTCATTAGCCTCAATAAGCTTACCTGTTCATCTGTAGTAGAACCTTTTAAACTTTTAACTCGGTATTACTGGCCGTAACCCAGAACGTGAGACAGTAAGCGATGGCACATACAAATAAGAAAGATTCCTTATTGCAGCGCTTCTTGCCCTGGACTCCTGCTAACGCTGGCTGGCTGCTGTAACAGCAGTTAGCGTTGGCTTTCTGTCTGTATTACTGACAGGAAATCTACTTTGGTCCACTGTAAGGCTGGGGAGGATCTTACAACTTGATTGTTAAAATGGGGCAAATGTACACAGATTACACTGAAATCATGTACGTGTGTACTCCATTTGGGCATCTTCTGTTTACGGCTGATTTTGATAGCTCTAAATATACAAAACTCTGAAATAACAAGGGCAGGTTTACCTTTCAGTCCTGAAATAGGATCACCACAAAACTCTCGCACCAGGAACTCGGGAAGATACACAAAGTCAACATCCTGCAAAGATGGTACGACAACACGTTTCTGGATGGTACGCAGTAGAGCTTGTGAAGGTTGGGGATTGCTTTACCTTGAGAAAGGTACCCAGACAGGGCACAGCTTCATCCTCAGTTCTCCCTCAGGCTTAACTCGGGAGAGAAAACCACAAGCTGACAGATTATCCATTAAGGAATCAAAAACGCTTCCTAATTCCTACTTGGCAAAGTACTTGGAGCTCCTGCAATAGCAGAGGCATCCAGAAATGATCACTGAAAGTGCTACTTTTACATCTGTTCCAGCTGTGAAGCTGTTATGTATGTTTGCATAAAGTGGAGTGGTTTTCCCCAGAAGAAAGGTTTGTAGTTCCTCTGCACGTGCCCGTGCCTCTGCTCTCACACGGGTTTGCAGTTATTGGCTGATCCCGAAGAGCAGCTGAGGCGGGATGAGACGCTCTCCTGCTCTTGCGTGCCCGCGTGGATGCTCAGGCTGCGGCCTGTACTTGGTGTTAGGGGTGACAGGGTCTCTGTCTCAGCAGTCGTCGACAGAAGGCCTCAAGTAAACCTCAGAGGTTAAGCCCAAATGAAATCAACCAATGACAACATCTTACTAGGTCCAGTTCTGGTGAAACTACTTTTTCATTCCCTGTACCTAAACAAAGCTGAGATTGACAACCTTCCACCGCAGTGTACGATAAAGTTTACTGAAGAGACAAGACGGGGCAGATCAGCAGTATTTTGTTGCTGTTCTGACTAGGGCAGGAATAGCAGTTTCTCAGGTATCCCTTTAAAGAGCCAGGATTCACCAACCCTTGCCCTGTTACTCACGCTTTGTCAGTGTC